CAAGAAATACAAAAATTAGCTGAGCGTGGTGGTGTGCACCTGTAATCCCAGCTACTCGAAAGGCTGAGGCAGGAGGATCTCTTCAATCCGGGAGGCAAAGGTTGCAGTGAGCCGAGTCACTGCACTCCAGCCTGGGCGACAGAGCAAGACTCCGTCTCCAAAAACTAACTAAATAAAATTAAATAAAGGGCAATGGGACCCAGCAGAAGGATTTGAAGCAGGAGTGGGGAGCATCTGGTTATGCTAGGGAGGACAATTCATGAGTGAAGGTGAAACCAGATTACTCCATCTCCCTCCTACCCCAGCCTATGGTGCTGGGCCACTGTGTGGGGCGAAATCGGAGGCCAGCTGGGTTTTCCCCCTGTGCGCCTAGGTAGCCACGGTCTCTGCTTCCCCCTCGCGGCTGCTTCTTGCCTCATAGGCTCCGATCCTTAGGATTCGGTTTGCGCAGAGCGCCAACTAGGCGTGGTCCTAAAGGTTGGGTGGTCAAACATTGTGACCCCGGGCGCTGTGCCCGCGCTCCAGGAAGGGGAAGCAGCGCGTGGGTCTTGTATCGGGGGCGAGGCCAGGACCCGCTGACTCACGCCTCCTGCCGCGGTCAGAGCCCAAGTTTGTCAAGGTATTTTGGATCCCGGAGAGCGAGAACCCAGATGACGACAAAATCTACTTCTTCTTTCGTGAGACGGCGGTGGAGGCGGCGCCAGCAATGGGACGCCTGTTGGTGTCCCGCGTTGGCCAGATCTGCCGGGTGAGGAGGCCCTGGCCACACCCCGCGGCCCTGCCTCTGCTTCTTTGCCTGCTCTGGTCTTGCCCTCATCCCCTCTGTTCGTCCGGCAGAACGACGTAGGCGGCCAGCGCAGTCTGGTCAACAAGTGGACGACGTTCCTGAAGGCGCGGCTGGTGTGCTCGGTGCCCGGCGTTGAGGGCGACACCCACTTCGATCAGCTCCGTGAGTGCGGGAGTGGGAATGGGGTTAGGGAGGGGGGCAGCGCGCAGACTCCGGGAGCCCCCGCCGCAGCAGGGCTGTGCGCCCTGCCCCAGCTAGGCCCCTTCCCCGCAGAGGATGTGTTTCTGCTGTCCTCGCGGGACCATCGGACCCCGCTGCTCTATGCCGTCTTCTCCACGTCCAGGTGAGGGGCGGGAGGTAAAAAGCGCCCGGGGCAGGCCTGGGCTCCACCCAGCCCCTCACCCCACCCTGTTCTTCGCCTACAGCAGCATCTTCCAGGGCTCTGCGGTGTGCGTGTACAGCATGAACGACGTGCGCCGGGCCTTCCTGGGACCCTTTGCACATAAGGAGGGGCCCATGCACCAGTGGGTGTCATACCAGGGTCGCGTCCCCTACCCGCGGCCAGGCATGGTGCGTAGGCCAGGGACTTCTGCCACAACCCACTTCACAACCCCTTCAAAGCCTCAAGGGTTTGAGAATTTGGCCTGGGGTCTTCTTGGTGAATGTGGTTTCTTCTTTTAGTTATGGGTGAGAAAAGGTTTTCATCATAAAACAAGGCTTGTTTTGCCACCTCTGACTTCCCAGGACAAGGCTGCATCTAGTCTCTCAAATTCCCAGGGCAGGGTCTGTCCCCATCCCCCTCCATGTTCCCAGAAGCTTGGCATGGAGGGCTGCTCATGAAGCCCGCATATCTATATCCTTGCTGTGCCTCCTTTCCCCCCACCCTCAGTGCCCCAGCAAGACCTTTGGCACCTTCAGTTCCACCAAGGACTTCCCCGACGATGTCATCCATTTTGCGCGGAACCACCCCCTTATGTACAACTCTGTCCTGCCCATTGGGGGGCAGCCTCTTTTCCTACAAGTTGGAGCCAATTACACCTTCACTCAAATTGCCGCGGACCGGGTTGCAGCCGCTGACGGACACTATGACGTCCTCTTCATTGGCACAGGTCAGGGGCCCTCCACAGAGACCTCCAGGCTCCCATCCAGGCACTGTGGCCTGCTGGTGGAAGCTCTCCCTGTTCAGTTCCGTTTTCACATCCTTTCCTGGGCTATGTCTCCACCTTCTGGATGCTGCCCAACCTGCACTTTTCCAGTCCACGCTTGACAATCCAAACATGCTCAGGGTAGACACCTCAAAGGCGAGGAGACCCGAGTCCCAGCTGTCCGGGAGCACCAATGGTCATTATGCTTTCTCATCCCTGCAGACGCTGGCACGGTGCTGAAGGTGATATCGGTCCCCAAGGGCAGCAGGCCCAGCGCAGAAGGGCTGCTCCTGGAGGAGCTGCATGTGTTTGAGGTGAGGCCTCGCCCCCAGTCGCCTGGGATCCCCCCCCAAACCACTAAGCCCTGACCCCGTCGCCCCTCCTCCGTCTCAGGACTCGAGCGCTGTCACCAGCATGCAAATCTCCTCCAAGAGGGTGAGTGACCAGAGGATGAGGGTGGGGGTGGAATGGACTGAGCTTGTGCCTGGCACGTCCCAAGCCTCTGGCCCCTCTTGGTAGTTTGCACTCCTGGGTTTGAGTACAGGCTCTGCCTTTGCTAGACTGTATGACCTGAGGCGTAAGACCTCAGTGTTCCCATCTGTCGAGTGGGAGAAGGGATCCCTGACCGATGGGAGGCAGGCGTGGGGCCGCCCTCGGTCAGCCCAGAGCCCCTTGTGCCCCCTAGCACCAGCTGTACGTAGCCTCGCGGAAGGCGGTGGCCCAGATCGCGTTGCACCGCTGCAATGCCCACGGCCGTGCCTGCGCCGAATGCTGTCTGGCGCGTGACCCCTACTGCGCCTGGGACGGGATCGCGTGCACGCGCTTCCAGCTCAGTACCAAGAGGTGGGCGGGGTTGGGATTGGGCCGCCGGGAGGGATGCGAAGGGTCTTTTGCTGCCCAGGGCTGAAAGAAGGGCTCACGGAGGGTCCAATGTTCCTCTCAGGCGGTTCCGGCGGCAAGACGTAAGGAATGGCAACCCCAGCATGCTGTGCTCAGGTGGTGAGTCCCCCAGCTGCCCCTACCCTCAGCCCCAGAAAACACCCCACCTTCCCTGCTTTGTCTAAATCTGACGTTGTTTTCGCCCCAAGACTTTTCTCGTCCCGCACTGCTGGAACACAAGGTGTTCGGCGTGGAGGGCAGCAGCGCCTTTCTGGAGTGTGAGCCCCGTTCGCTGCAGGCGCGCGTCGAGTGGACTTTCCAGCGCTCAGGGGTGACAGCCCACACCCAGGTGAGTCTTGCTCCGCGCTCCCCACCAGGCTCCTGTCTCACCCGCTGCATCCAGGAGACGCCTCACCCTGCTCAACAAGGCCTCGCCCAACCAGACTCCCTCCCCTCCCCGCCCAGTTTGGGCCCTCACCTGCACTCCACAAGCTGCGGAGGCTCCATTAGGTCCAACCAGGCTTCTGACCCGCCTCCCCTGGATCCGGGAGAAGACTCGCCCTCGACCCTCCTATTGAGGTCCCTGACCCAGGCCCCACGTTCCTGCAAACCCCGCCTCGTTTGTATCCTCCCTGGAAGACCACCAGCTCCCAAACACTCAACCTTCAAATATGCACCCGCGGGCACCCCTTTCCCGCTCCCCCTCGGCTCCCAATGACTCTTGGCTTCTTCCTTCGGGTGCTAGGGGCCCGACGCCCCCGCCTCACGCTACCCCCCGCCCGCAGGTGCTGGCAGATGAGCGAACGGAGCGCACCGCCCGGGGGTTACTGCTGCGCAGGCTCCGGCGCCGAGACTCGGGCGTGTACCTGTGCGCCGCCGTCGAGCAGGGCTTTTCGCAGCCGCTCCGTCGCCTGTCGCTGCACGTGTTGAGTGCTACGCAGGCCGAACGGCTGGCGCGGGCCGAGGAGGCTGCGCCCGCCGCTCCGCCGGGCCCCAAACTCTGGTACCGGGACTTTCTACAGCTAGTGGAGCCTGGCGGCGGTGGCAGCGCGAACTCCCTGCGCATGTGCCGACCGCAGCTTGCGCAGCACTCCTTGCCCCCAGAGTCGCGGAGGAATAAGGGCCGCAACCGGCGGACGCACTCTCCTGAGCCACGCGCTGAGCGGGGGCCGCGCAGCGCAACTCACTGGTGACCGGGCTGTCCCCACGCCAGGGACCAAGCAGGAGACGACAGGCGGGAGAGGAGGCAGATAGACCCTGAAAAGACGGACGGGTTGGGCCGGGCACGTTGGGGGTCCCCGGCCGACATAGACACCCACCGACAGGCCCTGGCCAAGGGCAACTGCGCGGGCTTATTTATTAACAGGATAACCCTTGAATGTAGTAGCTCTGGGAAGGGCGGCACAGGCCAGGCGCAGGATTCAGCCGGGGGGGGGGGGGGGGGGGAAGGGACGAGGAAGCCGGGCTCCAGAGCAACAACCAGGGCCGAGGAGGTGCCTGGAGTGCCCAACCTGGGGGACAGACCCCACCTCTTTGGGTAGTGAGCAGTGAGCAGAAAGCTGTGAACAGGTTGGGCTGTTGGAGGTGGAGCGAGGCAGGCCGACTGTACTAAAGTAACAATAAAAGCATTATCAGCCAAAGCTGGAATGGCCCCAGCAGACAACCCCAGTCCTAGGCCTTGCTATGTGGTCTTAGGCACCTTCGTAGCCGTGTTAGGGCCTGAGTGTCTCTTGTCCAAGGTTGCCTGGTGAGGGTGAAAGGTGGTTCCACGTGACTGAACAGGTTCTGTAGGGCCTTTGGGAATACTGACAGGCAGCGTACATTATATATGTGCATAGTATAACTTCAGGGCTGAGTGTTAGGAAGAAAATAAAACTGGGTGGCCGGGCGCGGTGGCTCAAGCCTGTAATCCCAGCACTTTGGGAGGCCGAGGCGGGTGGATCACGAGGTCGAGAGATCGAGACCATCCTGGTCAACATGGTGAAACCCCGTCTCTACTAAAAATACAAAAAACTAGCTGGGCGTGGTGGCGTGTGCCTGTAATCCCAGCTACTTAGGAGGCTGAGGCAGGAGAATTGCCTGAACCCAGGAGGCGGAGGTTGCGGTGAGCCGAGATCGTGCCATTGCACTCCGGCCTGGGTAACAAGAGCGAAATTCCGTTTCAAAAAAACAAAAACAAAAACAAAACAAAAAAAAAAAAAAAAAAAAACTGGGTGATGTGGAGAAGCATGTGAGCAGAAGGCCTCACTGAAGGGGTGACATTTGAGCTCCATGACAAGGAGGAGCCAGCCATAGACTATCTGGGGGCAGAGCATTCCAGAAGGGAACAGCCACTGACAAGGCCCTGAGGTGGGAACAAGCTTGCTGACTTTGAGGAACATCAGTGAGGCCAGTGTGTGACAGGTTTGGAGTGTGTGGGAAGTAGAGCCCACACTCTTGCTTTGCCCCCATTGGGAAGAAGGGCCACAGGGATCCAACCACAGGGAAGGCTGGAAGCTGGACCACCTCCCTGCTTCGAGGTAAGCGGTGATGCGCATCCTTACATGACCTTACCGAACGTGTCTACCCTTGTGGAGATGGGAGCGGGGGAGGACCAAAACCGTGCATTGCGCTACATGCTCCAGATGTGGTTCTCAGTGTACACTGCCAGGGAGAAGCCATTGTTATTCTCACTTTACACAGCAAACTGAGTTCAGAGAGGGGAGATCCTTTACCTAAGGTTGTAAGCTTAGTAACAGATGAACCAGCCTCCAGCCTAGGTCCACCCACTGGCCAGCATGGGTGCTGTGTGTGTATCTGCCCACTTGTGAGGCTATTAGAGCCCTCATGGCATCAGGCTCCAGTTGTCCATCACCCTCTATATAAGACACACACAATAGCACTGTGTGCTAGCAAGTCATGCGGTGGAGGCTGCTTGTCTCGTGTTTGCTGGGAGGAGAGATGACTGGGCTATGGGTAGGGGTCTGCAGGGTGGAGGGGTGGCCGAGTAGAGATGCACAGGGGTCCCTTGTATGTCTTGCCTGACACGTGGGGCCTTGCTGAGCCTGGGGGCTCATTCTGGGTGTATGGAAGAGGTGTGGTTTGCCTTGAAGGTCCCTGGGCACCTGGACTAGTGGAGGCAGGCTCCTGGCTGGCTCCCTCTCCAGGTAGATAGTTCAGGCAGGCCCACGTGGATCACTCCACCCCTTCCCATGGCTAAGGGCTGCCCCCTCTAAATATAGCCCTTTGGGTTGAGCTCAGGCCTATTTTAGGCCAAGTCTGGGAGGCAGCCAGGCCTTCCCCAGGCTCTCAAAGGAGCCACTGCTGTCTTTGTCCAGTCCTGCTACTGGATGCCATCATCGGCCCCTGACTGCCCACTGCTTGCCATGCCCGAGGAGACCCAAGAAGGTAGGAGAGAGTGACCATGAGGGAGGGCAAGGACTCAGTCCTGTGACCTTGTGGACCATGGAGAGACCCACCTTCTGCCCCACTGACCTCACTGTCTTGAATAGTTATCCATTTTCATGCCCCAGCTCCAGTAAAGGAACCTGCTCCCTGTGCAGGGAGGAAAAGACTGCCATGCCTGGAACCCCTTGCCACCTCAGGCCCTGCTTCAGTTTCCCCTGCTGGGGACATCAGGAGGATGGGGGAAGCTACCCAGTTAGGAGTGGGTCAGCTACCGGCTACGCTGAAGTGGGTGTGGGCATCCGGACAGCTGCCCAGCCAGTTCAGCTCTTAAGGGAGGAAGCTGGGATTGGGATTGGGCAATAGTTCCAGAAAGCATTTGGGCACCTGTCCCAGGGACTAGGAAGTAGATAGGCCTCTGGCCTCCCCTGACTTAGGTCTAAATATCCCCAACTGGCTAGGGCTGGGGGTCCCTTGGCCTGGTCAGACTGAGACTTAGCTAGTCAAGAGCTTGGTGGCCACTCGTCTAACTGCTTCTCTGCCTATAAGAAGTACCGATAGGCCGGGCGCGGTGGCTCAAGCCTGTAATCCCAGCACTTTGGGAGGCCGAGGCGGGTGGATCACGAGGTCAAGAGATCGAGACCATCCTGGTCAACGTGGTGAAACCCCGTCTCTACTAAAAAAAAAAATACAAAAATTAGCTGGGCATGGTGGCGCATGCCTGTAATCCCAGCTACTCAGGAGGCTGAGGCAGGAGAATTGCCTGAACCCAGGAGGCGGAGGTTGCGGTGAGCCGAGATCGCGCCATTGCACTCCAGCCTGGGTAACAAGAGCGAAACTCCATCTCAAAAAAAAAAATAAAATAAAATAAAAAAAAAATGAAGTACCGATGCTGAGGGGCCAGGGCGGCAGGAATCAAGGAAGCTACAGGTCCACTGCTGGCCAGCACATAGGACTGGCTGCTCCATCTTATAGCCCATGACCCAGCTTGGCTCAGCTAGTAAGCTCCTCTCATCACATTTTCAACTTTTTTGGTTGTTGTTGCCCAGGCTGGAGTGCAGTGGTGCCATCTTAGCTGACTGCAACCTCTGCCTCCTGGAGTCAAGTGATTCTCGTCCCTCAGCCTCCCAAATACCTGGGATTACAGGTGCACACCACCACACCTGGCTGAGTTTTTTTTTTTTTGAGATGGAGTTTCGCTTTTATTACCCCAGGGGAGTGCCATGGCGTGATCTCGGCTCACCGCAACCTCGCCTCCTGGGTTCAGGCAATTCTCCTGCCTCAGCCTCCTGAGTAGCTGGGATTACAGGCATGTGCCACCATGCCCAGCTAATTTTTTGTATTTTTAGTAGAGACGGGGTTTCACTATGTTGACCGGGATGGTCTTGATCTCTTGACCTCGTGATCCACCCGCCTCAGCCTCCCAAAGTGCTAGGATTACAGGCTTGAGCCACCGTGCCCGGCGAGTTTTGTATTTTTAGCAAAGACAGGGTTTCACTACTTTGGCAGGCTAGTCTCGAACTCCTGGCCTCAAGTGATCTGCCCTTCTCAGCCTTCCAAAATGCTGGGATTATAGGTAGGAGGCACCGCGCCCAGCCACATTTTCCTTTTTTTTTCTTTTTTTTTTTTGAGACAGAGTCTCACTCTGTCACCTAGGCTGGGGTGCAGTGGTGCAAACTTGGCTCACAACAACCTCTGCCTCCCAGGTTCGAGTGATTCTCCTGCCTCACCCTCCTGAGTAGTTGGTATCACAGGCATGCACCTCCGCGCCCAGATACTTTTTTTTTTTTTCTCTGTTGCCCAGGCTGGAGTGCAGTGGTGTGATTTAGGCTTACTGTAATCTCTACCTCCCGGGTTCAAGTGATTCTCGTATCAGCCTCCCAAGTAGCTGGGATTATAGGAGTGTGCTACAACGCCCAGTTAATTTTTGTAGTTTTAGTAGAGACGAGGTTTCACTGTGTTGGCCAGGGCTAGTCTTGAACCCCTGACCTCAGGTGATCCACCTGCCTCGGCCTCCCAAAGTGCTGGGATTACAGGCGTAAGCCACTATGCCTAGCCAACATTTTCGACATTTCGTACTGTAGGAGAGGGTCCTGGCTCTCCTGGTAGGGGGAAATGTTTCTCTCTTTCTCTCTCTCTCTCTCTCTCTCTCTCTCTCTCTCTCTCTCTCTGTGTGTGTGTGTGTGTGTGTGTGTGTGTGTGTGTGTGTGTGTGTTAAGGGTCTCCCTGGTCTTGAACTCCTGGCCTCAAGAATCCTCCCACATTGGCCTTTCAAAGTGCTGAGATAAGAGGCATGAGCTATCATGCCTGGCCTCTTTAGGGATCTTAACAATAACATTTACTGTGTGTTTTACCTGTAACAAACAATTCACATTCAATTTAGAAAGTGTGAGAAGGTTGGGCACAGTGGCTCATGCCTATAATCCCAGCACTTTGGGAGGCCAAGGTGGGTGGATCACGAGGTCAAGAGATCGAGACCATCCTGGTCAACAAGGTGAAACCCCATCTCTACTAAAAATACAAAAATTAGCTGAACATAGTGGCATGCACCTGTAATCCCAGCTACTTGGGAGGCTGAGGCAGGAGAATTGCTTAAACCCAGGAGGCGGAGGTTGCAGTGAGCCTAGATCGGGTCATTGCACTCCAGCCTGGGTAACAAGAGCAAAACTCTGTCTCAAAAAAAGAAAGAAAGAAAGTGTGAGAAAAGCACAACAAAGTACAAAGAGGGAATTTTTGGTTTTTTGTTTGTTTTTGGAGATAGGGTCTCACTCTGTTGCCCAGGCTAGAGTGCAGTGGCACGATCACAGCTCACTGCAGGCTCGACCTCCTGGGCTCAAGCAATCCTCCCACCTCAGCATCCTGAGAAGCTGGGAAGCATGCCACCACACCCAACTAAGTTTTTTGTAGAGATGGGTCTCCCTGTGTTGTCCCGTCTGGCCTCAAACTCTTGGACTCAAATGATCCTCCTGCCTTGGCCTCCCAAAGGGCTGGGATCACAAGCATGAGCCACGGTGCCTGGCCCAAAGAGAGAATTTAACATGACCTTCAACCCACCACCCAGACATAGTGACTGGCAGCAATTGCTTGTTTTTATTGTACTTGCTTTTGAGCATGTCAAGAGGCAGTTTCAAGTCATAGAGGCTGCCCTTGCTCCTATCTGGAGGTGTCCCCCCAGCGCTCTTCCCCACTGTTAGCTTCTAGGTGGGTCTCTGGAGCTGTTGGCATCTGGACCAGGATTTTTAGAAATCAAGTTAAAGAACAACCAGAAGAAAATACAATTAAATATTGGCCTAACACACGGTGGCTCACACCTGTTATCCCAGCACTTTGAGAGCGCAAGGTGGGGAGATTACTTGAGGTCAGGAGTTCAAGACCAGCGTAGCCAAGATGGTGAAACCCCAGCTCTACTAAAAATACAAGCTGGGACCGGGCGTAGTGGCTCACGCCTGTAATCCAAGCACTTTGGAGGCCAAGGCAGGCGGATCACCTGAGGCTGGGAGTTCAAGACCAGCCTGACCAACATGGTGAAAGCCCTTTTTTTTCTTTTTTTTTTTTTTTGAGACGGAGTTTCGCTCTTGTTACCCAGGCTGGAGTGCAATGGCGCGATCTCGGCTCACCGCAACCTCCGCCTCCTGGGTTCAGGCAATTCTCCTGCCTCAGCCTCCTGAGTAGCTGGGATTACAGGCATGCGCCACCATGTCCAGCTAATTTTTTGTATTTTTAGTAGAGACGGGGTTTCACCATGTTGACCAGGATGGTCTCGATCTCTTGACCTCGTGATCCACCCGCCTCGGCCTCCCAAAGTGCTGGGATTACAGGCTTGAGCCACCGTGCCCGGCTGAAAGCCCTTCTTAAAAAAAAAAAAAAAAAATACAATCCGGATATGGTGGCTCATGCCTGTAATCCCAGTACTTTGGGAGGCCAAGACAAGCTGATCACCTGAGGTTGGGAGTTCAAGACCAGCCTGACCAACATGGAGAAACCCCGTCTCTACTAAAAATACAAAATTAGCCAGGTGTGGTGGCGCATACCTGTAATCTCAGCTACTCGGGAGGCTGAGGCAGAAGAATCACTTGAACCTGGGAGGCGGAGTTTGCGGTGAGCTGAAATTGCACCATTGCACTCCAGCTTGGGCAAGCAAAACTCTGTCTCAAAACAACAAAACAAAATTTATCCAGGCACATGCATGTAATCCCAGCTACTGGGGAGGCTGAGGCAGAAAATTCACTTGAACCCAGGAAGCGGAGGTTACAGTGAGCTGAGATCATGCCACTGTACTCCAGTCTGGGTGACAGAGTAAGACTCTGTCTCAAAAAGAAAAAAAAAGAACAAAAAACTTCAAAAGTCTAAAAATTAAAAAATCACAAGAAAAGTTCACATACCCAAGTAACTAAATGGGCAGAGGCTTCAAATTAATAATAAAGAAGCAGCCGGGCACAGTGGCTCCCACCTGTAATCCCAGCACTTTCTTTTGGAGGCCGAGGTGGGTGGATCACGAGGTCAGGAGATTGAGACCATCCTGGAGAACACGGTGAAACCTCATCTCTACTAAAAATACAAAAAATTAGCCGGGCATGGTAGCACACACCTGTAGTCCCAGCTACTCGGGAGGCTAAAGCAGGAGAATCGCTCAAACCCAGGAGACAAGAGCTTGCAGTGAGCCAAGATCATGTCATTGCACTTCAGCCTGAGCAACAGAGCATGACTGTCTCAAAAAAAAAAAGAAAAGCCTTTAGCCAGGTGTGGTGGCTCACACCTGTAATCTCAAAACCTTGGGAGGCTGAGGCAGATGGATCACCTGAGGTCAGGAGTTAGACCAGCTTGGCCAACATGGCAAAACCTGGTTCTACTAAAAATACAAAAATTAGCTGGGTGTGGTGGCAGGTGCCTGTAGTGCCATCTACTCAGGAGGCTGAAGCATGAAATTGCTGGGTGGAGGTTGCAGTGAGCTAAGATCGAACCACAGAGTGAGACTCTGTCTCAAAAAAAAAAAAAAAAAAAAAAAGCCACACCCATATTAGTCACACTCTCTTGGCTAAGAAACCCAATAAAATCAATCAAGAAAGGCCATTTCTCATCTCTCATAGCAAATATGTGTGCACATAAATATAATTTTTTTATTCGGGGATGCCTAATGGTGGCAAACTCTGTTGGGGGCTGTGGACAGTGCTTCTGGAGGACAATTTGGTAACAGCTTTAAAAAAAAATTGGGCCTGGCCTGGTGACTCACACCTGTAAACTCACCATGGAAACATTGTATTGAAAATACAAAAATTAGCCGGGTGCGGTGGCTCAAGCCTGTAATCCCAAGCACTTTGGGAGGCCGAGGCGGGTGGATCACGAGGTCAAGAGATCGCGATCAAGAGACCATCCTGGTCAACATGGTGAAACCCCGTCTCTACTAAAAATACAAAACATTAGCTGGGCATGGTGGTGCGTGCCTGTAATCCCAGCTACTTAGGAGGCTGAGGCAGGAGAATTGCCTGAACCCAGGAGGCGGAGGTTGCAGTGAGCCGAGAACACCCCATTGCATTCCAGCCTGGGTAACAAGAGTGAAACTCCGTCTCAAAGAAAAAAAAAGAAAATAACAAAAATTAGCTGGGCGAGGTGGCACACATCTGTAATAACGAGCTATTTGGGAGGCTCAGACAGGAGAATCACTTGAATCCAGGAGGTAGAGGTTGCAATGAGCCAGGATTGCACCACCGCACTCCAGCCTGGGCAACAGAGCAAGACTCTGTCTCAAAAACTAACAATTGGCCTGGCACAGTGGCTCATGCCTGTAATCCTAGTACTTTGGGAGGCCAAGGCTGGCAAATTGCCTGAGCTCAGGAGTTCGAGTCCAGCCTGGGCAACATGGTGAAACCCCATCTCTACTAAAATATAAAAAATTAGCCAGGCATGGTAGCATATGCCTCTAGTCCCAGCTACTCAGGAAGCTGAGGCAGAAGAATTGCTTGAACCTGGGAGGCAGAGGTTGCAGTGAGCCGACATCACGCCATTGCAATCCAGCCTGGGCAACAGTAAGACTCTGTCTCCATTTAAAAAAACAAACAAACAAACAAACAAAAACCAGCCTGGTGCAGTGGTTCATGCCTGTAATGCTAGCACTTTGGAAGGCCAATGCAGGTGGATCACTTGAGGTCAGGAGTTTAAGACCAGGCTGGGCAAACATGGTGAATCCTTGTCTCTACTAAAAATATAAAAACTAGCTGGGCGTGGTGGCACACACCTGTAATTCCAGCTACTCGGGAGGCTGATGCAGGAGAATTGCTTGGACCCAGGAGGTGGAGGTTGCAGGGAGGCAAGATCTTACCATAGCACTCCAGCCTGAGCAACACAGGGAGACTCTTTTTTGTTTTTGTTTTTGTTTTTTGAGATAGAGTCTCAAAAAACAAAAACAAAAACAAAACAAATCCCTACTCTTGGATGCAATAATTCCACTTCTGGGAACTGAAATGAATAACTATCAGGAAATTGGAAAAAAACCCTTCATACTCAACAGTGGATGTCCTGGGAGTTAATTTCAAAGGGTAACTGCAGCAGTGAGCCAAGATCACGCCATTACACTCCAGCCTGGGGAACAAGAGTGAAACTCCATCTCAAAACAAAAAACAAAAAACAAAAAACAAAAAAAAGGGACCCACAACCAACCTAGATACTCAGGCAGCCTCAGAGGCATGTGTGAAGAGACCTCAGAGGCATGTGAAACAGTATAACAAGCATCTCTCCAGTGGTAATGTTCAATAAAAACAGCAGAGTTCACACATATATAGCAGAGTCACACTGATTATGTTAAAGAATGCAGAACCAAGGCCAGGAGGGAAAGGCACCAGAGTGGCTACAATAGGGCTTTTTGACCAGAAGCTGCCAGGTATTGGGTCTGCAGGGAGAAGTGACAGAAGAGGCAGGACTGAATTGCATTCTCTGTGGGTTTAGTGTAAAAGGCTGATAACTACTAGAAATGAGGAAGCAGAGGAAAGTCCGAGTCCCTGGGGTGCTTGGAAGGAAACAAATGTATCTGCTGCTCCTGGGTACAGAATAAGCCTTTAAGGGTCCGGGATCATCCTGGATCCAAATCAAGCGTCATTCCAGAGTCAGTTTTAGGGGATTTGGAGCCAAATGCCCCACTATCCCTATCCTCTGAAGTCCCTGCTGCCTGAAGGATCAGCCAGCCACCTGATAGAAGGGAGTTGATCCACTACTGGCTAAATCAGCCTGCACTGGCCCTGCAGACTCCATGGCGCCAATGATGCCCAGCCAGAGGAGCAGCAGGGCACTGGCCCCCAACCACGTGCAGGAGGTGCGCCTGCACCGTGTGGAGTCCATCAGCGACCTGCACAGCGGAGGTGAGCCGGGACAGGCGTGGATAATATGCTGGGGGTGGGGATGAAAGCAGGTGCACCCACCACCCTCCTGCTATCCCATCCACCCAGCAGGCACATTGCGCCCGTATCTGACTGAAGAGGCACGGCCATGGGATGAGCTGCTGGACGTTTTGCCGCCGTCGCTGTGTGCCCAGGCTGGCTGCAGTCCTGTGTACAGACGAGGGTTCCTGCTGTTGATCACACTGCTGGTGCTCACCTGCCTGGCACTCGCACTCCTGGCTGTCTACCTGAGCGGTATGGATGCACAGGGTGCTGGTAGGAAGAGGGCAGGGCAGTGGAGCCTGGGGGGCACTTCTATGCAGTTGGAAGGAGCGACTGCAGATGCTACAACAATGAAGGATGGGATGGGAGGCTCACGGGTGCCCCCAGTCCTGGGCTGGGTGTGCAGGGGTCATAGGGTGGCACATGGTCTGATGAACCCCGACTTCTCATTTATAGTGCTGCAGAGTGAATCCCTACGTATCCTGGCACACACGCTGCACACGCAGGAGGAGACACTACTCAAACTCCGCTTGGCCAGCCTCAGCCAGCTTCGGAGGCTCAACTCCAGTGAGGCCCAAGCAGCACCCAGCTGATGCCACTTGGATCTGGGGCCTGGGGGTGTGTGTTGGGAGGAATAAAGTGGCTATGGGCAGGTCTCTCCTTCCTTACTGCTGGCTGCCACATCTACATTATTTCCTTGGTGAGATTTTTTATAAGAACCTGATATCGGCCGGGCGCGGTGGCTCAAGCCTGTAATCCCAGCACTTTGGGAGGCCGAGGCGGGTGGATCACGAGGTCGAGAGATCAAGACCATCCCGGTCAACATAGTGAAACCCCGTCTCTACTAAAAATACAAAAAATTAGCTGGGCATGGTGGCACGTGCCTGTAATCCCAGCTACTCAGGAGGCTGAGGCAGGAGAATTGCCTGAACCCAGGAGGCGGAGGTTGCGGTGAGCCGAGATCGCGCCATTGCACTCCAGCCTGGGTAACAAGAGCGAAACTCCGTCTCAAAAAAAAAAAAAAAAAAAAAAAGAACCTGATACCACCAGGTGTGGTGGCTCACGCCTGTAATCCTAGCACTTTGGGAGGAGTTCAAAACCAGCTTGGCCATCATGGTGAAACCCCATCTTAAAAACAAAAACAAAAACAAAAACAAAAAACCTGATACCGATTTCACAGCTACCTGCCTCTCCTGATCTCTTCAAGCCAGGCCTAGCCAAGCCTCTGGTACCAAAGCTTTGTTCTGGGTGACCCAAGGTCAGGGGAAGGTATACCAGCCTCCTGGCTCCTCCTGTGGCCTGTCAGCACTCTCTGTCTACCTCCAGATGGCAGGTTCTGAAGTCCAGAAATAGCTGCCCCCACGGCAGTCACCAAACTCTGCCAGGCCTCCCAGTGGGGGTCCAGCCTCAGCTCTCAAAGACAGGTTGGAGCTCTAAGTTGGGGTAGAGGCGCCACCTGGGGGAGCCTTGGAGGGCAAATGTGACATGGGGGAAGACCCAGTTGGGCCCAAGTGTGGGGTGGTACAGAGATGGGGAGAGAGAAAAGAAAAATACTCAGGGGTTAAGACCACAGAAGGCTGAGCATTCTGTTTAATATCTCTAATAATCCTTAAAAATCAGCACACAAATCCATTCCAGGTAGCTTTGTCTCCCCACCTGCTGTGGTGGCATTTGTCCAGATGCCACCACCCACCTAAGAGTGGGTCATCCTAGGGGAGCAAGGCCTGAGAAAGAAAAGGAAGGGAAAGACCCCCTAGGGCCTCCCCCACAGCCCTGGGATAGGCACATATTTAGCCTGGCCTGAGACAAGGCAGGAAGAGGCCACAGGGCTGAGTGCAGGGACAAAGGAGCCAGGGTCCCAAGTGTCCGGGCCCCCAGCTGCCCACCCCATGTCTGTTTTTGATTTTCTCATTAAAAAAATAAAGTGACAAATACTGGTGGAGTCCAGTTGTCGCATTGTCTTCTGTTAAAAATACGGACCAAAGGTATGGAGAGTCTTTTTTTCAGCTGGTCCTGCTTCACAGGATGTCTGCCCGCTTGTCCCGCACACGGCTTCGAGCTTTGGTCCGGGCTTTGAAGGCGGCAGCATTATACAGGTGCTGGAGTGGGGACAGAGAGTGATACCCTGGGGAGCAGGGAAGGGAAAGGCCTGGGGCTCCTCTTCCAGCCACTGCAGAATTCCAGGCCTCCAGGAAACGGGGGAATAGGGGGAAGAGGAAGGTACCCAAGGGTACAAACCTTCTCGAAGCGTGGAACCTTGCAAGCCTTCAGGGCAGCAGCATCCAGCACCAGCACAGGGCCCAGCCCAAAGATGTCACGGAGCAGCTCATTGTTCTGGGGGGCAGAGGGCAGTGAGCCCAGGCCAGCCTCAAGCAGCCAAGCCAGGTGCTCCCTCCCTGTCCGTCCCCGCACCTGGAGGTGGTGGTGCATGCCCGAACCCAGCACTTCCTTGAAAGCAGCGTAGATCCTGTGCTGGGCCCAGCTGTCCATGTAGAGCACCTCAAAGCCGAAGCGCACTGTCTCTTCTTCTCGTTCACCGCCCTGCAGGGTAGAGGGGCCCACACAACTGGGCTTGGCTGCTATGCCTGGGGGTGCACCCTTGCTAGGACACATGTTCTTACACACACCTCCACAGAGTGCAGCACGGCACGGAAAGTAGAGCGCTGGCGCCGGCGATCGGCCTTGGCACGGTACTTGTTGCTGTCAGTGGCCAGAGTGCGCAGGACACTGCAGAGGGCCTCCATGTCCTTGTAAACAAACTCCTCCTGCAATGTGAGTGTTGGAGGGTGTGTAGCAGATGCTTGACCTCTACTGGCTCTGAACACAGCATTGCCTAAACCCCTCCTTTCACTGAGAGACCCTCTCTTCTCTGCCTGGCCCCTTGGACCCCTCCTTGGCCTCTGCCTAGCCAGGACACCCCGGCTCAGGGCACCCATCATGACATCTGGCAGATTAATCTGTGTTGGGGCCACCTCCTCTACATAATGACCTAAAGCTATTCTGTTTTCTGTTGCACCCCTGCATCCAGCCTTCGATGGGCAGGTGGTGTCACCAAGCACCCCCATCCCTGTCCCTCGCACCTCAAGGTCCCGGGCAAGCTCAAAGAGCAGGGCAATGGTTTCACCAGCAGCGATCCGCAGGTTCACACTTTCACTGGACAAGAGCTGGGGCAGCCGGGGCAGCTGCCTAGGGAAGGGGCAGGCTGAGCTACATGTGTGGGTTGGGGGCCTCTTTGAGATCCCCTCCCCATCCCAGTGGACAGCCACACCTACCTGTCAAGGATGTGGCTGAAGTGGGTGCTGGGGCAGATGGTGAGCAGTAATGCCCAGGCCTGCAGGGCAGCACAGAGTAGGCCGTGCAGGCTGGCAGGGACCACAGGAGTTACAGAGCTGCCCAAGCCATAGAACCGGCTGAAAACACTTTCTAAGCAGGCAAGGCAAGAGACCACGTCCTAGGAGCACAGGAAGGCAGGGGAGCTCAGAGGCAGAGTTACAGGCCTAGGTGTTCTACCACCTGTGCCCAAAGACCACTCACCTGGATGTCGGCGGCAGCCACGTAGCAGCCCAGGCCAAGAGCAGAAGCGCACTGTTGGGAGGAAGGCAATGCCATGCCACGGTCAGCAGGTGAACCTGCGTTCCCAGCCCTGGAGCTCACCCCCCTCAGAGTAGGGGAGGCTGAAGACAGGAGGAACCCACCATTCTGCTGAGGGATAAAGTGGAGGAAGGGTTTCACGGGGCATGGGCACACTCACGTGGAGCTGGGCAGCAGGGCTAGCTGTGCTGTCACTGAGCACAGAGACCAGCAGGGGCTGCAGGCTGTGGAACAGCTCCTCACCCTTGGGTCCAGGGCCCAGCTGCACACAGAGCAGGCCTAGCAAAGCAGCAGCCAGGGCCTGTTCCTCGCCCTTCCCTGTGGGATGCTTTCCAGTCAGCCCATGCAGCAAGGGCCAGTGTCTGCGAAGTTTAAGTCTCCCATGCACCCCCAGGTCCAACCTTTCTTGAGGCACTTTTCCAGGGCATCAGCTAGCGTGAGGCGGCGCTCCAGCAAGAAGTCAGGGAGTAGGCGGGATGCCAGGGCCAGGCGCAGGCTCTCAAGAGCACCCTGCCGGGTCTTGGCACTGGGGGAGGTCAAGAAGAGGGGTCATATGGGCCAGCCCTCCCTTGGTCACACTTGGAGCTGGGTGTAAGAGTTGGCTGGCAGCCAGGGGTACCTCTTGTCTGTGAGGCAGTCCACATACTCCTTCAGCTTTTCCTCAAGATCTTCTTGCTGGCCCTGCTCATCCACGACATCCCCCCCTGCAAGGCCACCTGGTCAGCACTTCTTCTTGTCCCATGAAGCCCCCTCACCAAGCCCCTGTCAAATTTCCACTTGCTCTCACCAAGGCTGTCCTCTGCAGTGGTGCTGAGAAGGCTGGGGCATTCACTGGCGGTGCTGCGGGCCTCACTGGCTGCCTCATCCTCACTGGAACCTGAGTCAGCTTGGGCACTGCTCTGGGCACCTGGGGAAGGTGGAATAGGACACTCAAATTGCCTTCACTGATGAGGGATGGCTGGGGTACCTCACCTGACTTCATAATCCCAAAAGATGGAATGGTGCACCCTCTTGGAGAGGAAAAATCAAAGCCAAGGGTCAGGTCAGTAGGGCTGGTGCACTCCTGTACGTGGGGTCTGTCCAGGGCCAAGGGCTGACATTGGCAAGGGTGGCTGCTGTGGCAGAGTTTTGGACAGGGTCTGATCATCAGGCTGGACCTACTTCTCAGAACTACTCACAACCCTCACCTGAAGGACAAAGTCCAGATGGCACACTGGCCTCTGCTCCCCTTTTATCTTACTATCCTACCTGACAGAGCAGCCAAGCCTTCCCTCATTCACTCCACTGTGCTGGGGTCCCTCCAGCTGCCAGGCCTCTGCACAACTTGGTCTATTCTCCATCTTCTTGGGACTTACCCAGAAGTACCTCCCCGCAGGCCTACCTGAGTCCTAAGTCTGGAGCTGACACCACTCATTGAACATGTTCTATATCCTATTAGATGTCCCCCACCCAAATCCCACCAGGGTGGTGGCCAGTTTAAAGTTGTGCCTAGGTCTTTTCCTCCTTCCTGTGCCAGGCTTTCCTCCTCTCCCCGTCAAAACTAAAAATAAATAAAATTGTGCATAGTAGGCACCCCATCCCAGCAAAGTAAACATATGTGTTTACTGCATTAAGACAGGCTCCTGGTCTAAGCTGATAAGCGAGTCCCAAGGCCGCCTCAGGCTCCAGGATACTCAGCCACCTTGCGGGGTCAGGCCTGCCAAGCTGCCAAGGCCCTAATTCTGTAATTTCCCAACAGAGCCCCCTCCTTCTGTTCACCGGAGCAATTCAGGACTCCCGCCAACTTCCTTGACCAGTCCAGGAAAGGATCAGGGTTTGGCAAGGGGACTGGCTTTCTGCTCTGTCCGGTGAGTTTGTCCACCCCAGCAGGCAACTGAGGCAGAGAGGCAATGGAGAAACTGAGGCCCGGAAGGGCTGGCCGGGCCACCGCTGGGAGCGCGGGCTCCCAACAGGCAGTGGGCAGCGAGATCAGGTTGGGCAAGCACGTGGCCAATGACTGCTGCGGCACGTGCCAGCCTCCGTAGAGTTCCGGGAAGCTGCCCGGGGCTGGCCGAAAGGGTTCCCCACCCAGGGCGCTCGGGAACAACTACAGGGATCCAGCAGGACCCCCGCCTGCTGCTCGTAAGCTCGGCGCCCCCCACCCCACTCACCTCCTCCACGGCGCTGACCACCCTTTCGGAGCGTGTTGCCCTTACGGGCGCGAGGCATGCTGGGAACCGGGCGCGGGGGGCGCGGGGGGCGCAGGGGGCGCGGGGTCAGGGACCCGGTGGGTGTGGGCTCCAGGCCAGCGAGACGCCGGCCGGTGCGCTGCGCATAGACTTGGCCAGGCGGGAGCCACACGCCGCGCGCGCCACCATCTTCCCGAGGCGGCCCGCCCTGCCAAACAGGTCGCCGGGAAGGCGAGTTCCCGGCCATCCGGTTCAGACCCACATCGACGCGGCCAAAACTACTAATCCCAGGGGCCTAAGCTGCGCGCAGAGCCCCACGGGAATGGTAGTCCACGCCTGGAGCCCACTAGCTGACGACGCGCTAGCTTAACTATGTTCCCACAATGCCCTGCGCGTGCCTCAGTTCCTTGGTGGCCACTAGTGCACGGTCGTTAACTCCGAAGGGTCCCTCAGTGGAGCGCCACGGCAGGACTGGCTTCTAAGGGCACTTGGCAGGACACTCCCGATGAGGCCGACCTCTGCCTAGGTCTGGGGACCCCGGAAAGGGCTTAGAGTTTGGAATAACAGGAGGAGCAGCCAAACCTCAGGCAGTGGAAGAAAAAGTGATTTTATGATGAAAGAGTACAGGCAACAGCTTAGCACTTTACAGACCCTAGCCAAGATTTTTTGGGGCCGATTTCCCCGCGCATGGCCCATCTCCTGTGACCTCTCCATGGGCCTAGTGAGGTGTAGGTACAAAGCCCTGGGCTGGCACCCCTAACTAGCTGGAACGTGACTCTCCCTGGAACTGCTTCCTTGCCATGGAGGAGTCACATGATCTCAGACGGCCTCTGGTTTTATAAGCCTTTTTTCTGGCCCCTTCCATGCCTCAGGGATTCCAAGGGAAGTGGGGTGTGTGCTTTTGGGAGGGTTGGTAAGCTGAATAGAGCAAGAGTGGGACAGAGTAGCTCCTGGACTGGAAAAGTGGCAGCAGGCAAAAGAAGAGGCAGTAGCAGGGGCCCGGGCTTTATACTGCTTCTTTAGGCCCAGGCCTGGGCTCCTGGCAGGTAGGGCCAGCCCAGCCCCAGTAACATTGGCAGCTGAAGGACTTCCAGCCTCCAAGGCTGCCGTCTGGCCACAGGTGTAGAAAGGCTTCCATCTGTCCTGGATCTCGCCAGGCACAGCGCCCATGGCCATGGCACTGCTGGTGACTGCAGGCCATTGCTGCCCTGGTCACATTGATCACATAGGGGCCCAAGGTGTCCACCAGGTAGTCATGGAGATGCCAGCACTCCTCCTAAGAAGGGAAGGGATGTGTCAATATGCCTGCTCCACAGTCTTGACATGGCCATCCCTCACCCTGGGACCCCAGCATGTGCTACATGACAGGCTCAAAGGGGCAATGATCACCTCAGAGCTGGAGAGGCTCAGGTCCCCCCAGAGCACCACGCCGGCTGCCCCTAGTGCTGCACTCACACCAATGGTCTGCACAAGGTCATCCTAGAGGCAGAGAGCTGCTAAGCCAGGGCTAGGCTGGCCAGATCCATGTGGGTCCATATCCACCTTCAAGAAACTCTTCTGGTTCACTGCCACAATCTGATTCTACCTCTGCAGTGGGGCCCTTCTAGTTTGGTTTGGTTTTAGAGGCAGGGTTTTGCTTTGTCATCCAGGCTGGAGTGCAGTGGCATAATCATAGCTCACTGCAGCCTTGAACTCCAGGGATCAAGTGATCCTCCCACCTCATCTCAGCCTCCCAAGTAGCTGGGACTACAGGCCCATGTCATAACACCTGGCTAATAACTTTTTAGGCTGGGTGCAGTGGCTCACACCTGTAATCCCAGCACTTTGGGAGGCCAAAGTGGGAGGACTGCTTGAGTCCAGAGCCAGCCTGGGCAACATGATGAAACCCCATCTCTACAAAAATATAAAAAATAAGCGGCTGGGCGTGATGGCTCACACCTGTAATACCAGCAATTTGGGAGGCTGAGGTGGGCAGATCACCTGAGGTCAGGAGTTCAAGACCAGCCTGGCCAACTTGGGGAAACCCTGTTCCTACTAAAAATCTAAAAATTAGCCAGGCATGGTGGCATGCGCCTGTAGTCCCAGCTACTTGGGAGGCTGAGGCAGGAGAATCGCTTGAACCTGGGAGGCGGAGGTTGCAGTGAACCAAGATTCGGCCACTGCACTCCAGCCTGGGCAACAGAGTGAGATTCCACCTCAAAAATAAAATAAAAATTAGCTGAGTGTGGTGGTATGCACCTGTAGTCCAGCTACTTGGAAGGAGGCTGAGATGGGAGGATCGCTTGAACCCAGGAAGTGGAGGTTGCAGTGAGCTGACATCATGTTACTGCACTCCAGCCTGGGTAAGAGAGTAAGACTCTGTTTCAAAAAAATTTTTTTGGTAGAGACTGGGTCTTACTATATTGCCCAGGCTGGTCTCAAACTCTTGACCTCAAGGAATCCTTCCATCTCAGGCTCCCAAAGTACTGGGATTATAGGTGTGAGCCACTCACCAGCCCAAGTAGGGCTCCTTTGTATCAAGTCTCTGAGTGGCTTCTCAGGCCTTCCACTCAGAATTTCTCCCCTCAAACCAGGGCTCCAAAGGCTGGGCCTCCCTACGCCTCAAGATCTTCCAGGGCAGAGCCATACCTCCCTCATCAGATGCTCCAGGACAGGGTCTTCTGCTCAAAACCCCTAGATTAGGACCTACCCCTAGGCAAGGTCTTCTGGGATTTTCCAAAAACAGGGCCATACCTCCTGACTCAGGCCCCTAGACCTCAGCTCCCACTTACCTGGGACAGGAACCTCCCAGATCTCCGGTGTGTAAGGCGGACATAGGCCAAGACAGGCAGGGGATGTTGGTGCCCAACAAGGGCCACACGGAAGGCCTCCTCCAGGCGATGTCGGACAAAGGCCTGGTGGTAGGCAGCTGGCAGCCTGGGTGGTAGGTAGATGCTGGGGAAGAGAGCACTGGAGGCGGCCCAGAGCCAATGCAGTTGTGTGTTTCGGGCAAGGGTGGCTGCACGGCAGCGGCCGGTATAGTTGGAAGCTGTACTATGCCAGCCATTGCCGCAGTTTGGGTAGCGATAGAAGCCCCAGAGTCCATGGGGCCGCAGTGCCTGGCCGAGCCGCAGCGTATCCTCCATCAGCGCACGGGCCGCCTGCTCAAAGCCAGTATAGGCCTTGTACAGCTGCTCCTGAGGGTCCAGGTCAGGGAATACCTGCTGTGCCCAAGCCCAAGAGGCTGCCTGATAGGCCCGGCGGCGGCCCCAGTTCCCAGCCCAGAGTGGACACCACTCCTCCCAATCCAGCACTGCTGGGCCAGCAAAGCTGGATCTCAGGCTGTGGTGGATCTGGTAGGCAGCCAGTGCCAGGTGACGGTCAAGGGGCAAAGCCTGGGGGATTCCCCCATTGTGAACTGTGCCCCTGGGCCCAAAGTAGGGATAGAGGCCCAGCTGGTTCTTGTAGAAAATGGTCATGTTCTGACCATGGAAATGCTGGCCATGGTTGGCTATGATGCCCAGGGTATTGAGTGGCAGGTGCACACCAAAGCGGGCCTTACAGTGTGCTGAGGGTACATTCCACAGCACAGAGAAGGGGTGTTCAGGGATGTGTGGCAGGGGCTGGCCACAACCCAGGCACAGGGCCACCCCCAGCACCAGGGCTGGGCCTAGTTGCGTGGTCATGCCCCAAGGATGGAAACCTGCAGGAGAGAGGGATGTGTGAGCTTAGAGTCCATGGCCGTGGCCACACCTTCCACATAGCAAGGAAAGCTAGGAAAGCTCCCCCAGCTCCTCATTATCCTATGGGAGGAGCCTAGAGAAAGCATGTTTCCCCAGGGGTCTCTTGGGCTTTTTATTTTTATTTATTTTTATTTTTTTTCTTGAGACAGAGTTTCGCTCTTGTAACCCAGGCTGGAGTGCAATGGCGCGATCACGGCTCACTGCAACCTCCGCCTCCTGGGTTCAGGCAATTCTCCTGCCTCAGCCTCCTGAGTAGCTGGGATTACAGGCACGCGCCACCATGCCCAGCTAATTTTTTGTATTTTTAGTAGAGACGGGGTTTCACCATGTTGACCAGGATGGTCTCGATCTCTTGACCTCATGATCTGCCCACCTCGGCCTCCCAAAGTGCTGGGATTACAGGTGTGAGCCACCGCGCCCGGCCCTCTTGAGCTTTTTAGAGCAGCCACACCATAAGCTGGCTATGATCTCTCAGGCATCGAGTGGCAGGTACACACCGAAGTGTGCTTTACAGTGAGCTGAGGGTACATTCCCTCCCATGTTTCCCATCTTTGTGAAGACACCAGTGTCCTCCTACAGCTGTTACAAGTCTCCTTCTTTCCTCTGCACACCTTGTTCCCTGTTCCAAGAACACTCCGCTTCTACCTCCTTACCTGCCTGGTTTAATTCCTACCTAGCACTTAGGTCTCTGCTGTGACATCACTGCCCTGTGAGGTCTCCTGGATCCCCAGGTGGAGTGAAGGCACTTGGGTTTCCAAAGCCTCTTTACCTCCCCTGTGCCACATGGATCCTGCCACTGTATGCCTGTTTGTCTCCCTATCCGTCACCCTGCCTGTCTAGTTCCCCATTGCCTATGTCCTGTTCTGGGCTTAGTGAATGGTAGTGAGTGAGTCAATGGGGAAGAGAACAGCCACCCTGTCTCCTGGGCCTGGTTGGGGCGGGAGGGTAAAGGACAGGCATCCTCCCATCAATGGCCTCAGGGCCAAGGCGAATCTGGGGGCTTCTGCAGGGATAGGGGACCTGCAGAAGAGGTGAGAGGTGAGGGTAGGGGGGTTCAACAAACAAACTGTCACAGCCACACCCAACAGAGCCTTTATTCAGCCACACTGGCGGCTCTGAGCCAGCCCCACCTCCTGGCCCCACTAGTACCCAGGAAACATGCCCAGGCTAAAGCTGACCCACAGGGGCTAGCGGCTGAGGTATGGCCGGTGGGATGAGGCTGGTAGACTGTCCGGGGCAGTCTATTGACCCCAAAAGACAACTCCTTGCCCTGGATGGCCTCAGATGTCTTTTTCCATCCAGAATATGGGGCACCCTCTCATGTTTTGGTATTGTGTCTCCAGCAGGCTTTTTGGAGGGGGCCCTGATGGAGCTGGGGGTGAGGTGGTCAGGCACTCAGGTAGGGGAGGGGGTGGTGGCAATGGAGGCCCTTTGGGACCCCTTGGGGCAGCTTGGACAGTTAGGTTTGGGGCCTTCCAGGGTAGCCGGGGAGAGAGGGCCATGGGGAAGAAATTAAGCAGGGTGGCAGGCAGTTGTCTGCTGGTGAAGACTAGGCCCTGCACAGGCTCACCCAGCTGGTAGCCCAGGTGGGTATAGAAGTGCAGCTGGTCATGGGTGGTGAGGTGCAGCTTGCGGAAGCCCCGGGCCCGAGCAAACACCTCCAGGCCCTCCATGAGGCGGCGGCCAAAGCCACGGCCTCTCAGGGCCCGGGCCACTACCACCGTCTCCACTAAGAGGCTCTGGGGCTGGTTCAGCACCCGTGACAGGCGGGCATGGCCCACCACAATGGGTGCTGCTTCAGGTGTGGGGTTGGGGCTCAGCAGCATCAGGCAGAGGGGGAAGGCATCTGAGGACTGGCCCAGGGAGTGCAGGCGGGAGGCACGGCTGCGGGGCCACTCATCATTGATGAGGTCAGCACAAGCATCCAGGAGCTCGGGTCGGCGGTGCACAGGCTCCAGGGTCAACTCAGCTAGGCTAGGAGCTAGGGTCTCCTCTGGCTGGTGTTCAGGATCCAGAGTAAGCTCAGCTGCACTAGGACTGAAGGTCATCTTTGGTTGGCATGTGGAATCCAGAGGCAGCTCTCACTGGCACGTAGGATCCAGGGTTAGCTTGGTCAGGCTGGATTTCAGGGTCAGCTCTGGCTGGCAGGTAGGATCCAGAGTCAGCTCAGCTGGGCTGGTACTCAGGATCAGCTCCATCTGGTGTGTTAGGGTCTAGTGTAGGGGTCAGCTTGGTTGGGCCAGGGCTCAGAGTCAGCTCTTGCCTACGCATAGGATTCGGGTTCAGCTGAGTCAGGCTGAGAGCCAAGGTAACCTGCTAGGTTGCAGGTGGCTCAGTGCCATGCTAGAGGTTAAGACTCCAGTCTCCAGGCAGTGGCATCTCTTCAGACCACAGGGGCTCTCCTCCTGTATATAACAGCCATGCTGGGCTGTGCCAGGAAGGAGGATGGCGTTGGGGCAGGGAAGGGCTGACAGAGTGCAAGGGGGACCATGCATACTGGAACTGGGGAGTGGTGAGCTACACTTTGTCCCACACTCACCTTATGGCACAGGTGACCCGAAAGAGACCCATTCCCTACTCCTGGTATAGGGGAGAGCAGGGAAGATAGATCCAGGTGTCCGTCCTACATTGGAGGGAGGCTGGGAGTGATGGATGAGCTGCTTAAGGCTGGCACAGAACCCAGGAGTCATGGCCCTAGCCTGCTCTGGCTACAAATTTGTCCTCAGGACCTCCCCTCACAGGGGGCCTTTGAACCACCAGGTCTATAAGACAGCTAACCCAATCTACTTGCTGGCCTCCTGTCTTCCAGTAGTCCTAGTCCACACTGCTAGGACACGGGACAGAAGGTGCAAAACAGACACCATACTCCCTGCCCAAACCTACCCCAGGTTCCCTCCAGAGGAAATACTGCCCCTAGAGGTCTTGCTGTCCTTTTCTTCTCCCTACGTTCAGAGTCTCCTCCAGCTCCCAGCCTTTTCAACTACCTGGGCAATGCCCACTGCCTTAGTGGATCCTGGGGCTCCATTCACCCACCCATGAGGCTCAGCTTTAGCCTGTCTTGGCTGCCTTCCCTGCCTGGAGCCCATGGTCCCCTTCCCAACTCTGCCATCTCAGGACACTTTGGATATAGACCCCACTGTCCCCTCAGATGGGGCCCCAGCAGCACCAGCACTGGGCCTGCCTGGCCCACAGTCACACAGCAGTATTACCTCTGCAGGCTTGGTTCCCCACCGGCCTGAGTTTCGCAGGCACCCTAGATAAAGACCACAGCTTCCTTCCTATATCCACAGGGTATCCAACGGTCACCAGGTTGGAGGGGCCAGGTTAGGGGCCCAGACCTGTGCCCAAACCCCACTGTTTGCCCATCTTAACCAAGGTCTTGCTGTCAGGCAGGTCTACACTGGGGGTTTTCTAGGGGTGGGCAGGCAGTTGGACCCATCCTTCTACTCACATGCTCCTGTGGGGGCCTCCTGGCTCCCCTTACCTCTCCTGAGCTTGAGGCCAATTCAACACTGGCCAGTAACAGGCAGCACCCACCCCTCACCTCCCACCCCATTCTCAGGGCTATAAGCCCCTCACCTGCATCAGCCACCTCTGCAGCAGCCGCACTCTTCGGTCTGGAGGGAGGAAGCCCCAGGATCCGCCCCTAGGCCTGAGCCAGGGACTACCCGGCGGCCTTAACCCCTTCAGTGCTGACCCCACCCACTGTGGGCGGGGCGGGGCTCCGGGGTCCCCAGAGAGTGGGTTCACCGCCTCTCCTGGGCCTCGGTTTCCTCCTCCCTCCTAGTGAGTCACAGGCTGTGGAGCTTTTGGGACTTCGAGAGCTGTGAGCAGGTGTGAGTCGGCCTGCTCTGGAAAGGAACGACCGACGCAGGGAGGGCGTGCGGGGTGACATGCCCACTTGGGGACCCCACGCGCGGGGTGGAGGTACAGGCAACAAATGGGGAGGGGGCGGTACTGACATGTTGATGCCGGCCTCCGGGATGTTCCGCGTCTTAACTCCGCACGGCTGGGTATCTCACTCAGTCGCCGGCTCGGACTCCTAAGTCCGAAAGCGCTGGCCCCCAGTGCTGCGGCGGCTGTACGGCAGCCGTCGCTATCCGCGGCGCGCCAATGCGCCCGCGCATACCCGCCTAGGCCCCTCCCCTCGCGTGCTTGTCACAAAACTCAGAGGGCGCAGACTCAGTCTCCGCTCTGGCTCCGCCCTTGCTGAGCCCCACCCCATTTCCAGTTTACTCCGCCTCCTCCCGGCCCGGCCCTATGCAGGCCCCGCCTCCTTCTCCTTGCGTCACAGGTTAGGTCCCTCCTCGGTTTGGCTTTATCAAGGCCCTGCGAGTCACCCCTTCAAGTAGGCGCAGGCCCCACCTCCAGCTGGCTTTGCCTCCGCCAGCCCTGCCTCAGTTCCCGCCGGCCTCCTGCTCCAGGACAGCTTGGAAACGGTTAGATCAGGTGGGGCTTCCTCCTGAAATTTGGGCCCTACCCTGGGAAGCAGCCGCCCTTTGACGTCAGATCTGGTGAGACTGACAAGCCTTTCCTGTGCCCTTTGGATACCGGGGCCTGGACATTTTAGGCGCTCAATAAACAGCTAAGTAAATCATGACTGCTTTATTTGCTGGGCTGCTGCCTCTCAGCAGATTCAGGGGTCGTGCAGGGCTGGTTACCATACACTCAGTAGGAGTACCAGGGCTGTACCCCTGGAGCCAGACAGCCTGGCTTTGAATCTCAATTTCTCTCTTTTCTTGCTGTGCAACCTTGGCAAAGTGCTTACCCTTACTGTGAGTGCCTCAGTTTCCTCATGGCCTCATTGTGAGGAAAGAATAAGTCAACATAAAATGCGTAGCACGGGGATTGGCAAAGAGTAGGTGCTTTGTGAGCCTTCGAGACTGCTGCAGCTCAAAGACTGGCTCAGTGTCTCTGGAGGAATTGTCTCTCATCCTACCAAGTAGATGCATATTGACATGGAATGGATGGTGTCTGCTGTGGTTCTAATTCCTTATGCCAGTCTGTTTAAGTACGCATATGTGTGGAAGGCATATGCTCATGACAGTGGCTGAGTGTACTCCTGTGACCATGACTTGCATGACTGTGCCTGTATTTGAGGAAGCCCTGGCCAGACCCAGAGTGCATTAGGTTCTCAATGTGTGTATCCCAATGTGTGGCCAATCACCACATGCTCTTCCGCCCACACCACGCTCCCTGCCAGCCAGGGTAGCATCGACATTTGAACTCCACAGCCATCTGTGCCTGATCTTCAAGTGAGAGGGCACCCTGCAGGCTCAGGGGCCCCCCACCAGGCATGAGCTGGATGGAGAAACTGGCAGGGTTAAGGATGAGGAGGGCTTTGGGGTGGCCGGGGCGGCGGACACAGCGGCCATGACCGGAGCACAGGGCGTGACTGCAGAGAAGGGCCCCATTGGTCACGTTCAGGATGAAGGGTCCCAGAGTAGTGTCCACATACTCCTTGATGGCCTGACATGATTCCTAGGTGGGAGGGGAGGAAAGTGTCAGGGACACCATGGCCATGCATGGACCTGTCTAGAGCACTGAGGCACTCACCTGCTGGTCAGCCAGGACTTTGAGGGTAGAAAAGGTAAGCCAGGGTCTCCCAAGTCAGCTTAATGTCCCCACCCCTCCTCCACCCCCACCCTAGCCCCACCCCCATGCCAGGCCTAACTCACCTTGGTTCTCGTATTTTCCCAGCTCACCCAGAGCACCACTCCGGCTGCCCCCTGGGCTGCACTCTCCCCCAGGCTGTGCTCCAGCTCATCCTGGGAAGGAGACAGCACAACTCTGTGGGTCCTCCTTCCCTCCCTGTGGCGGATTGCTGGAACACCATTGGATGGGACAAATCATAACCTTCAACTGGGGCTGCTCTGGCCATAGGGCCAGAGTCAAACTGCTTCCTCCCCTAGCCAATGAATTCCATGCAGACAGGGACTACATCGTTCCAATAAATGTTGAATTGCCTGTGGCTAGCACAGAACTTGGCACAAAGTACACACTCAATGGATATGCAAATGGGCCGGGATGGTGGCTCACACTTGTAATCCCAGCACTTTGGGAGGCTGAGGTGGGAGGATCACCTGAGGTCAGGAGTTTGAGATGAGCCTGGCCAACATGGTGAAACCCCATTTCTACTAAAAATACAAGAATTAGCCAGGCGTGCTGGTGCTGTAATCCCAGCTACTCAGGAGGCTGAGGCAGGAGAATCACTTGAACCCGGAAGGTGGAGGTTGCAGAAGCTGAGATCTTGCCACTGTATTCCAGCCTGAGTGACAAAACAAGACTCCATCTCAAAAAAAAAAAAAAAAAAAAAAGAATGAATGGATGAAAATGTCCCAAGGCTAAAGTGCCCCAAGGCTGGACCTAATATCTGACAAGGCAGGTTGACAAGGTGGGCGGGTTACAGAAGACAACTCACCAGGGGTAGAAAGTGGTTTGTCATGTCATAGAAGATCTGGACATAGGGCAGCACTGGCAGATTGGGGGCCCTAGCAGCCGCAGCCACACGGAATGCCTCACCCACACGGTGCCGCACATACATTTGTGACTTCCGTGTGCCCTCCAGCACTGCAGGCATGTAGATGCTGGGGTAGAGGGCACGGCTCTGGCCCCACAGCCACCCTAGCTGGTCATTTTGGGCACGGATGCCTGATGGGCACTCGCCTGTGTAGTTGGGGCTTAGAAAGTCATAGTTGTAGCATTCAGGGAAGCCATAGAAGCCCCAGAGGCCTCGAGGACGAAGTGCCCGCCCCAGCTGGAGGGTCCCTGCCATCCAAGCCCGTGCAGCTCCCTGGAACTGGTCCTGGGCTACTGCCTCCACTTGAGAAGCTGGCCATTCAGGATGCTGTGCCTGTACCAGTGCCCGTGAGCGCTGCCGGTAAATGTCCTTGGTGTCCCAGTTGAAGGCCCAGCGTGGGCGCCATGCCTCCCAGTCGATGACCGCCAGCCCTGAGAAGTCAGAAGTAGGCATGGCAGCCAAGATGTCCTGGAATGTGTGGGCCAGGTGGGCAATCAGGCTGGCATTCTGGGGCAGACCACCAAACACAGGCTCCCCGGTGGGTGTGTAGTAGGGGTAGGTACCCAGCTGGGAGCTGTAGAAAATTGTCATGTCAGGGCCTCGGAAGGTCTGCCCTGGGTTGGCTACCACATCGAAGACACTGACATCCACATCCACACCGTGTCTGTCCAGGCACCACTGGGTGTTTGCGTTCCAGACGGTGGTGAAGGGCCGGTTGGGTATCAAGGGGCCGCTGGAGCCTTGGGCCATATCAAATAAGGCCAGGAAGAGGGCGCAGATGGGAAGCAGGTGGGCTGCCATGGCATGGGATTGATCGAGGGCAACCTGGCCAGGGGAGGCAGAGCTGAGAACAGGCTGCAAACTTTCTGACCCCCTCTCCAGGGCTGGGGGGCTAAGCCCTTGTGCGTTAATCCACCCCTGCTCTGGTTTCCATTAAACATTGACCTACAGGGCTCCGGGAGGGCAGAGGACGGAGGGGAGCATGGCCGCTGGAGGACCCATCTGAGTTGCTTCTCGGACCAGGCCTCTGCCATCTCCCACAAGCCTCACTCTGGCCTAAGCTTGCCCACCCCCGCTTTCCCATGAGCCACTGAAGCCATGACATCTGTTCTAGCAAGACTGGCTGATAGCCATGCCCTCAGCCCCAAGGCAGACCCGACCCAGGGGAGGAGGCTTTCCTGTCTTTTCCACCAGAAATCCTGAGAGCCACTGGAGGAAGATCGAATGGCCTCAGTGACCAAGGAGAGGTTAACCCCACCCTCCTGTATACCCCCCAGTCTGCCCACTTGTCCCTGCTGACCTTAGGGCTGAAGGGCCTCATCCTCCATACTTCCTGATCCCAGGGTGGGGGTCTAAGCAGGGCCTGGCCAGATTCCGTGCCTCAACTCTCACCCCAGTTGCACCAGAGACTCCTGGAGGAAGAAGCTGCTGCTGGAAATTCTGAGCTTTTGTGTGGGTCACCCCACCCCAGCCAGGGGCGGGCCAAGGGGCGGGCCTTGGATTGGGAGGCCCAGCCAGGCCAGGCATCAGGGCTACCTCAGAATGCCTGGCAAAGGGCTCTTGGTTGGGGGTGAGGCTGGGCCAGCAGTGGCCCCTCCCACGCTGTCAGCACTAGGGCAGGGCTTGGTGGCGTTACCCGGGCTGGAGGGGGTGAGTGGGGGCAGACCTGGCTGGGCAGGCCTGTTTGTGACACTGGAGACTGGGTTCCTCAGTGTCTTGTGCTCAGGGAATGTTCTTTCCCCACGTGGCTGCATCTGACATTGATGGGCCCTAAGCACTTTACCTTTTTTTTTTTTTTTTTTTTTTTTTTTTTTTTTTTTTTTTTGAGACGGAGTTTCGCTCTTGTTGCCCAGGCTGGAGTGCAATGGCGCGATCTCGGCTCACCGCAACCTCCGCCTCCTGGGTTCAGGCAATTCTCCTGCCTCAGCCTCCTGAGTAGCTGAGATTACAGGCACACGCCACCATGCCCAGCTAATTTTTAGTATTTTTAGTAGAGACGGGGTTTCACCATGTTAACCAGGATGGTCTCGATCTGTTGACCTCGTGATCCACCCGCCTCGGCCTCCCAAAGTGCTGGGATTACAGGCTTGAGCCACCGCGCCCGGCCAGCACTTTACCTTTGTGGATCCTTTCCTCCTTAAAAAAATTTTTGAAATATGGCAAGGTGTGGTGGCTCATGCCTATAATCTTTTTTTTTTTTTTTTTTTTTTTTTTTTTGAGACGGAGTTTCGCTCTTGTTACCCAGGCTGGAGTGCAATGGCGCGATCTCGGCTCACCGCAACCTCCGCCTCCTGGGCTCAGGCAATTCTCCTGCCTCAGCCTTCTAAGTAGCTGGGATTACAGGCACGCGCCACAACGCCCAGCTAGTTCTTTGTATTTTTAGTAGAGACGGGGTTTCACCATGTTGACCAGGATGGTCTCGATCTCTCAAC